CTGCCACCACCATCACCACCACCACCACCACCACCACCACCATCACCATCACTACCTCCACCTCCATCACCGTCACCATCACCACCATCTCCATCTCCGTCTGCATCACCACTACCACCACCACCATCTCAGTCTCTATCTCTATCTCCATCACCACCACCACCACCATCTCCATCTCCATCACCATCAGCACCACCACCACCACCACCACCATCTCAATCTCCATCTCCATCATCATCATCACCACCACCATCTCAATCTCTATCTCCATCACCACCACCACCACCACCATCTCTGTCTCTATCTCCACCTCCACCTCCACCACCACTACCACCACCTCCATCTCCATCACCACCACCACCACCATCACAACTACCTCCCCATCTCCATCTTCATCACCATCACCATCACCCCCACCATCACCATCTCTGTCTCCACTCCATCTCCATCACCACCACTGCCAACTCCATCACCGTCACCACCACCATTACCACCACCATCTTCATCACCATCATCATTACTACCCACTTTCATCACCAGCATCATAATCATCACCATCACCACCACCACCTCCATCTCCATCACCACCACCATCTTTATCACCATCATCACCATTACTAACCTTCATCACCATCACTATCATCATCACCCTCACCATCACCACCAGCATCTTCATCACCTCCCTTCCCATCACCTCCTGCCATCACCATGATCATCATCACCATTACCACCACCACCATCAAGTGTCATTGCCATCATTGCCATCCCTACCATCACCATGGCCATCATCACTGGACTGTGGCTTTTAGTGCCCCGGAGGATGAACCTTTGGTTCTTCAGGGAGCCAGCAGATATGTTCTATAATAATAGTTTTAATGCTATTACTACTAATAATATTAACTGATAGTACTAATAGTTACCAATAGTGCCAGTACTCTTGTTACAAATAGTTGCTAACAGTGTAATAGTAGGAGCTGGTATACCTTTCAACTGAGGTGTAAACATACCTTTGCTGTGAGTCCTCGCCACAACCCAGCAAATAGGGACAGGTGTTTTATCCGCATTTGGCAGAGCACGAAATAGAGGTTCAAGGAGATCATTGACTTGCCCAAGGTCATTGACTTGCCCAAGGTCACCTGTCTAGTGTGTGGCAGTCTGGATTGGAACCCTGTCTGCCAGGTTCCTACGAGCTGGCGCCTGTCCTGCCAGGCTGCACGTTGGCCTCGACGCCTCGCTCTCCTGCACGACCAGCTCTTGACCTCGCACTCCCTGGCAGGCAGATATCCATGAAGCCACCATCCGGCCAGCTCCTCCGGAATTTAGGAAATGCTTTTTGGCCACTTTCATGGACATCGTAACAGAGAAGTCCATTAGGCATTTGGCCTTGTGAGACTGACCTCCGGTGATACCGACAGTGATAACGATGATTGAGGAGGAGGAGGAGGCGAAAGGAGAAGGAGAAGGAAGAGGAGGAAGGGAGGGGAAGTGGATGAGGAGGAAGAAGAGGAGGAGGACAAGGAAGTGATAATGAATTGACACGGGGGTGATGATGATGACAACCATGTGGCGATGGTGGTGATGACGATGGTTAGGAAGGTGGTGCTATTGAGGACGCATACCTATACTAATACTGACAGCAGCTTTTGAGGACCTACTATGTGCCAGGCTCGGTCTCATTGATCTTCACGGCTCTGCCAGGTAGGAGCCGTTACTGCCCATATTTACAGATGAGAAATTTGAGGCTTAGAGAAGCTGAGTGTCCACCTCCAGATTCAGAGCCAGCGCTCTGACCCGCCAGGCGGGGATTCACGCCACCACCGGCAGAGCCCGTAACTTTACATTTTTTCCCCTTCCTTGCACACCTTGCTTGAATGGTTCAGAAAAACTGCAGAGATCTTTGTTTCTGGCAAGATCCACACTAGCCCCATTTCACAGATGAGGAAACTGAGACGTCACACGGTCAGTCCGGCACCGCCACTGCCCCTCCCGGCACCCTGCGTGCCCCCGCCCGCCTCGGGGCCCCTGCGCGGGCTCACGCGTGCTCTGTTGTCCCGTAGGCTCGGCGGCGAGGCCCCGGCTCCCTCCTGCGGAAGGCATGCCGCACGGCGCTGCCGCTGCAGGCGCTGCTGCTGCTGTTCCTGCTGCTGCTGCTACTGCTGCCCGTCGGGGAGGAGCGCCGCCGCTGCGGCCTGGCCAACAACCTCGCCCGCTCCTTCACGCTCACGCTGCGCCACCACGGCCCCCCGCCCACCTAGCCCGCCGCTGGGGCGCCCAGGTGACTTTCTTCTTCAACCCTCCTCCGCCCCGGGCCGCCCCTGAGGACGCCCAGCCGGGGAAACTGCAGACAGAGGCAGAGGCAGGCCCCAGAGCGCAGAGCCGCGCCAGCCCCAGTGCTGCGCCGGCGTTCCCAGGACAGACTTCCCTCTCGTGCAGCGTTGTCCCCGTCCGCTCGCCAGACATGCACCGTGCGTGGCTAGGGAATCGCGTGCAGGATTTTTATATGCTCTGAGTGCAGATGCTCAGTATGTACCTTTCATGGGCGAGGTCTATTTGCAGTTGGGAGGATTCCTAGCAGTGTGCGTCTCCAGTGGGATTTGGTGGTGGTGTTGGCTTGGTCTGCGGTCAGCCCCCGAAAGCAAGAACAATAACGTGTCACTCTTTTTATGACAGCTTCTTATCCAGAAACCAACTCCAAAACTCAGGTGTGAGCGAAAAGGCCCCTGAGCTGCCAGTGTAGAAGGAAGAACAGTACAGACCTCACTCAGAGCCCAGTGACTTTTGCTTTGCGCACAACGAGAACACGTGTGCTCGTCTAGTTGTTAAAACCGCAAAGATGAGACGCCGTGGATTGGAGGTAGAAATGACAGTGACCAGACAGGGGCAGGCACAGAGATAGCAGTGAAAAGTGACAAGTGACAGAGTGGTATCAAGGGAAGGAAAGAAGAATTACAAAGAGCAGACCTGGAACTAAGAAAGCACAGCCGAATGAAGGCGTTGAGTGTAGCCCCCAATCCCCACCGCTCTGTAGCCTCTGATCGCGAGGACCAGTGATGACCGTCCACGGCCAGTGGTTAGATCATGCCCTCCGTGTTTTGTTCGGGGAGAAAGGGAAGGAGCTAGACTTAATTTTTCAGGTTTCCATGCAGAATGGTGAAATGCACTCTGCGTGCAGAGCCCACCTGACAGTGCCAGGGAGACAGGAGTTTCTCTTGCTGCCCTGCGACCGAGTGTTCGTCGTCTAGAATGCCGGCTGGAGGGCGGAAGGGAAGCGCTTGCCATGCCAGGGGCCAAGGACCAAGGGGCCAAGGCCGAGATCAGCCTTGGCGCTCAGCCTGTCTGAGGGCTGTCCCTGCCCTGCCCAGAGGCACTTTGGAGACAGGCAGGTCCTCTGAAGCAAGAACATCCCACACGCACCCCGACATGGGACCAGGGCCCAGGCCAGCGCAAACCAGGCTCTGCCCTGCCGGGTCCGGGCAGGCAGGGCACCATGTGCCACCGGGAAAGGCCCGGGGAAGCTCCACATTGGGCTCAGGGGCCGGACACGCGTCCCTCCCTCCCCAGCCACGTGTAGGGTGGCCCCTGAGTGCTTTCCAACTGGATCATATTTTCCTTAAGTCAACAACTACATTTTCTTTTTTAAAAAATATTTAGTGCCCCTCTTTACAAATGGAGTGCCCCTCTTTATCTGTCGAACTGCAAATATGGAGTCAAAAGGGGATTTCCTCAGGCGTGACAATGGACTTTAGAGTCATAAAGTGTTATAGACCCCAAAAGATCCCATAAATAGGGGGAAACTGAGGCCCTGAGTGGGTCCTGACCCCCAGCACGTTGTTCTCTCGCACACACTGGCCCCTCCCTCCCTTGTACCAGGCCCAGGTGAGCGGTCCCCACGGGGACCAGGCCCCGGCACGTAGGAGCGGCTGGAGCTCACAGGGCGGGAAGCCCGAGCTGGGGAGGGCAGTGCTGGGCGCTGACTCAGCCCTTTTCCCCAGGTGTTTGGAAACCGCGCCGCAAGGCCCGTTCTCTGCAGGTGGCACTTTACTGGACATCGGGCTGAGTGGGCCAAGACTCCAGGCGCCCACTGAATTGATGGGTCCATCCAGCCCTGGAAGTCGGAGCTGCGGCAGGGACTTTGAAACCTTCCACGTCTACTCTCCCACTTCGAAGGCGAGAAAGCTGAGGCCCAGAGAGGGGAGGTAACTTTCCCACGGCCACACAGTGGCGAGAGGCAGCAAGGCCAGAGCCAACTGGTCACCGCGGCCCTCAGGCCACGCCCTGCTCACGGTGGCACAGTGCTCCCGTGTCAGCAGCTTCCAAAAGCAAAGCTGACAGTGCGCGTGCGGCCGTGCCGTGTGCACCACGCTGGGGAGGGAGAGACTGCGCGTGCGGGTGGCGGGTGGGAATGTCTATACCTATATATATATATATTATATATTTTAAATTTTGATAATGATGCCATAAAGTCTGCTTGTTTGCATAACTTTTTTTAAGAAAAGAGAATAGATATTTTCATTACTTTCATATAAAGACAGTTATAAGAAGATATCACAGCCATTTACTGGTGCTTTCAAATGCAGCCCCCTTTGCTTAAAGCGGGTGCAGGCCGCTGTCCTAGTGACTCCGCTTCCTGGCCTCTGTGACAGCAGCCACGGAGAGCTTTCCCGTGCCGCTCGAGAACGGCTGCCGTGGACCCTGCGAGCGTGTGTGTCTTGTTCCTCTGTCCCCAGGGTGAGAGGGGTGGTAAGAATTGTGACTGTCGTGGCCCAACCCAGTGTGTGTGTGTGTG